CAGGGTGGGGTGGGCCGCAGAGAAGCGTGTTGCTGCTGCGTGACCTGGCGGGAGGCAAAGAAGGGACCTGCGGCTCAGAAGGTCTTTGGCAGCTTGTGGCTGTCATCTCCCGCCCCGCGGGATTCCTGTGCAGAAAAATGGCTCTGTTTGGGATTTGTTTTCACTGCATTCTCAGTGAAATGTCAAGGAGGGAGCAGAAAAACTGCTCTGTAAAGGCATTGTTTTCTTCCAGAAGCCCTCTGGGCTAGACAAAAATAACTTAGAAACTTTCTTTCCAAGAGATGCAGTGTTTCTTTGAGCACAGGTCTCCCAGTGCGAGCCAGTAGAGCCTGCTGGTACAGTGCCTGTCTTTTGTCTGTGTGCGACTTGCAGGGAAATAGAGCCCCGGGTAGCGGCTGCTGTAGGAACAGCAATGTTTTCAGCACTGTTCTACTGAAGTGTTGGTGAGCATCTTGCTGTGAGCAGGCTGAAAGGCACCGGGTTGCTTTCGGATGTGGTGATGGCCTCTGCCCAGCTGCTGCACAGCAAAAGTTAACAAAGAGGCAAGGAAACGTAGCAGGCTGCAGTGGCTTCTCTCCACAGGAAGGGCTGAGAATAAAGAGGTGGAAACAGTAACCTCATCATGCAGAGGCATGCTAGGGAGTGGTGGGTGCGAAAGGGTGGTGATGGGACCCTGGGCTGTGACGCCAGTGGCATTTGGGAAACCTAAAGCAGGGCTTTGGGCTGCCCTTACACCATAAAAGGACCAAGGCACCTGCCCCTCTCTCACCCTTTGTCTTTTCTGCAGAGTTTGGTAAGGAGAAAAGCGTGCCACTGAACAACCTCACCGTGGACGAAGTGGCCAAGGCCTTGGAGAACATTGTGAAAAGCACGGTGTGAAGACAGACAATAAATATGCGCGTGCTGAAGACTTGACTGATGGTCTTTAATGTAAAACATGTATCTTTAACTTATCAATTGCATAAATGCAATGTGCTTATCCTGAGCTTCACTAGTTGGGTTTAAAGCCCGAAGCAGCTGCTGGAGGTAACGGCTGACCCAGCAGCATTTGTGCACCACCTCCCTGGCATCAAGCGCCCGTCTGCCCAGGCTGCAGCCGAGCTCTGCCCCTGCGCCGAGCTCTGGGGAGGCCTGGGGCAGCCTGCTGGTAGCTGCGAGCTGACAGCAAGGATGGGAACAGCCGTATCTTGCCAAGGACCAGCATCCCTGCGCAGCCAGCACTGGTGCTTCCAGCTGGCGGTGAGACCCCCGACCAGGTCTGGCGAAAGCAGGGCATGGGGTGAACAAATGGTTTGCTACTCGTTGGAGCGTGGTGGGAGGAAGGGAGGTGGCGTGGCCTAGGAGAAGGCAGACAACGTGGCGTGGCAGGGACTGAAGGCAGAGGTGAGCGGGGGCTGCCTGACCATGTCCAGCAGCGCTCGTGCCCGATCCTGGAGTTGTGGGGTGCTCTGGTGCTGCGCCCCCCCCCTGGCCTGACGAGGTCGGCAGCAGCCTGTGCAAGAGGAGGGGGGGTAAGGGCTGGCGGCCACCTGAGCAGCTGGTGCTGCTGCCCCTGTCTGCCCAGAGCCACCGTGGTACCGCCCAGGGAAGGGGCTGAAGGATTCCCCAGAGCCCTGCCAGACGCTGGAGTCCTGAGCCCGGTAAATCCAGCCGTGCCGATCGCTGGCCGGGAGTACGCACAGCCTGAAGTAAGCACAACTGAATCGGAAGAATCCTCCCCAGGAAGCTCAAAGGGTGCAAACAACCTGCCCCAAACCCAGTCATTGTCAGTGAAAATGAACTCCCCAGAGATACAAGAAGGACTTCTGCCCTCTCCACCACACAGGTGCCCCCCTTCAGGCACATGTCTGGGTGCTGATGAGGGCGGGTGAGCGTGGCAATGACTGAAGGCCGTATTATTTAAATAACAATAATAATCCCCATCCCTGGCTTTATGATCTCGTGCTTGATTCTGGGGCAGGCACCCCCCTGTCTCTTACCTCCGGCCAGTGCAGGAAGAGGAGGTGCAGCAGCTCGAAGCACTGCCCCACCACTTCGGGGTCGGCCGCCAGCTGGGGCGGGCCCGCCTGCCGGTGCAGCTGCTGGCAGTAGGCTGGTCCCTTCTCTGCTATATTGCACAGAATGGTCAGGACCTGGGCGGGGAAGCCATGAGAGGGAGCGAGCAGTGAATGTTTCGTTAGTGGGCAGGTTGCTGACAGGCCTAGGAGGGGCCCAAAGAACTCCCCTTGTCCTCCCTGGAGGTCCTGCCAGGTGCTTCCCCACAGCCACCAACCGGGTAGACTTTGAATGCTCTTTCAAAGCCCTCTCAAGCCACTGTTCATCCCCGTGCAAACCAGATGCAGCTGTACCACCCACCACTCGGCAGAGCATCGCCCCAGGACCCCCTAAAACTTTAGTGTCTTCCAAAAGTAGGTGGCAACAGCTTCGCCAGGCCCGCCCCAGGTGCTGGGAGGCCTGGCCCCAAGTTAACATCTGCCTTGGGACCCCTCTTCTGCCGGGACAAGACTGTCAAGGGTAAATACAGGCGTAGTGACTTCAGGGGAGGTGGATGGTGACTGCCACAACACCACTTTGCTACTGCCCCAAGACAACCTCCAACTTGAGCACTGTGCATGCGCAATTCATGTTCCCAACAGTCCAGCGCTTCCCCCAAGACCCGGGGCACGAGGTGAGGTCTTACCAACACACTGGCCATCCGGGAACACGGCAGGAGCTGCAGCAGGGCCGGGAGCAAGTCCAGAGAGAGCAGAGCGGAGCAGAAGAACGGCTCATCCGCTAGTGCGGGCAGAGAAGGAACATATCAATAAAATGGAGGTTTCTGAGGGAGGTCTCTGTAGACAAGATGCCACGAGACCGTCAGTACAAGGCAGGTCCTGGCAGCAGGTCTGGCTCTGCTGCCAGCCCCGCAGGACGCTTACCCGTGAGGTTGTTCAGCAGCCAGAGACACTCCTGTACGATGAACGGGTGCTGCTGGAGGAAGCACTGCAGGATGAGGAAGAGGGCGATGAGCAGGCGCTCGTCCTGGATCTGCCCTTCACAGCCCGTCTCCTCCGCGAGCAGGTTGCTGAGACACCGCAGCACTGGGCAGACGAGCTGTGATGGTGGAAGCACAAAGCCCTTTAGCCGACCGCATCCCCACAGCAACGCCGAGAACAGCCGGCACCCTGCCTGTGTCTTACCAGCTCCAGGCCCTCAGAAGCATCCTGGGGCATTTCAGAAGCCAGGTCGAGCAAGAGTGAGGTGAGGGCAGGCACGGCCCCCAGCGACAGCAATGCCATGTTGGCTGTATGGCTGCAAAGGGAAGGGACAGCGTGTTTGCTCGTGGCCCTCAGACAGGAAAAGCCACCGCAGCCCTCGCCAGACAACAGGGCCTGGAAATTCAGAGCGCTCTCCTGAACCACCGCAGGGCTCATTTCATATGGCTGTTCATTAAATAGCAGCTTGTCTCTGAGCTTATGAGAAATTTTAAAAGCCATTGGCAAACAGATCCGCTGGGATTATCTATGTCTGTCTGGAAACAACAGCCCTGATCCTTCTTTGAGTACCCACAAGTTCCTTCCCCTCTTCTGGGGCTGCTGAAAGAGATGGCACCAGGGCAGGCACACCAAGGTAGGCAGAGATTGTTGGCAGCAGCCAGCCTGGCCAGGTGACACTGGGCCAACCCCAGAAGCTCGAGGATTCAGGGAGCTTGCCTTGGGGAGTGCAGGGCACAACTCCAGACAGGGGGAAGTGACTGGGGGAGTTTCAGAGGACCAGGAACAGCCTCCTCATGTTTATCACCTGTTATCACGCTGTAAAAGAAGTCGGTAACAAACACACGTGCGCTCAGATACGAGAGCCGGAATGCTCAGGATGGCAGGGAAATGGCTTTTCCAAGGGAAAAGGGTGAGGGGAGGCAATCCAGGTCCCCTTGCGGGACCCTGAGCTTTTGTCCCTCTCTGTCTGCTGCCAGGGAACTCAAAATGAGGAGAAAAGTGCATTTACCTACAAATGATGTAGTGGAGACACCATGCAAACTCCACGGCTGCTCCTGTCCCAGCCTTGAGGCCGGAGCAAACCAGTCGAAGCATGTGCTGGGGGAGAACAGAGTCCAGAACCAAGCTGGGGTCAGAACGACAGAGTTAACGGAGGCACAGGCTGGAGCACAAGCAGGACAGACAACTGTCAGGGAGATACTAGCCCTGGCCACCGAGCAGGGAGCTGCCCTCCCCCGTACTGGGGACCACATGGCCCAAGAGCCCACCTGGAAGAGGCTCTTACCTAAGGGCAGCAGCCTCCGGCACCACTAACGCCTCGCACAAGCTCTCCCTGTCTGGGGCAGAGCCCGGGGTCACTCAGGACACCTTGGCTGGGGTCATATTTTTGGCACTGGGGGCTGTCAAGCTGATCTTTTCCTTCGCAGGAGGAATATAGCCAGAATATTGCCGCAAGCCTACCCTGCTCAACACTGTCCTTTACCGAAATACCAGAGCTGTCTGCTCAGATGAGGCTGAGGGAAAAGAGTCAAGCCCTGCGCCCTGATTTGCAACAAAACCTCCGTAGTTCTGGTAGGATTCTGCTCTGAACTATTAACATCACTGGGATAGGAAAGGCGTCATTGTCCCTGGCACGCAAATACCACACCGGGCCCCAGGGCTCATCCGGATTCAGGGTTAAGAGGCTGTGACTCACGGTATGATCTCTGCAGGGGCTTCCTTGGCTTGAAGGAGCTGCGAGAGGACGTAGCCCAGACCTTCCAGCACAGCCTCGTGCGGGGACTGCAATCAAACAGAACAAAGCTAATCCTGGGTGACAGAGCAAGGGGGATCCTGTGTGCCAGCTGCCGGGCTGGTGAGAGGGCGATACCTCTCCAAAGCCAAACCAGGCAGCTCAGTGGCGCAGTCCCTCTGTGCCTGGGGAAGGGGGGACACAGCAGGGGACCAGGAGTGACAGAGCAAGCTGTGGCCACACCAAAGCTGAGCTGTCCCCCCTCCTCACACTCACATGGGCTGTAGCTGTAGGGAGCCAGGTGCCCAAATACAGCAGCAGTGCTGCTTTGGGCATTCGGATCTGCACATGACAGCCCTGCACACTGTGTTGGCCTCATATGCCTGCTGGACCCACGCTGTGCAGAGGGGAGAAGCCCACAGCTCCCCATGTTACAGACTGGTTATCGGCAAGCCACAGTTATGGATGTGAGAGATTCAGCTGTAGAAGAGCACAAGATGGTGACCTAAGCCCCAAAAATGGAGTGTAGGAAAGCCCATGAGAGACCCTCACCCGCAAAGGAACAGCCCTCTGCAGAGGGGTCTCTACACATGGCCACAGCGGGAAGGAGGGCTGGTAACTCAGTACTTTCAGCCAGTATCTGCAGGGCAGAATAAAAGGCATCTTTCTATGCTGCCAGCACTGCAGTGATGCCCTGAGGCAGAAGCTGCTTCCTCACAGCTTCACTTTCCACTACCAGGTTCCCCAGTGTGTACAAACACAGCTCCTGAAACACACCCAAGAGAGCACGTCACCTCTTCCGTGCTCCTCAGCGGGACCCTGGCCAGCCAGCAAGGCCTCTAGGTCCCGGCAGCCCGGGACGCAGGCACACGCTTTCCCTGAGCAGGGCAGAAGCTGTCTTCAGAGGGGTAAACATAGATGGATAATGCTGGACTCTCCAGCTACCTTGTTCCCAGCTGTATCAGCTTCAATTTACCCTTTTTCTATCTGGCTCAGGTTGGGATCTAATCACTTCTACTTTGGAGGTTTTTCAGGCTTCTAATTATTGCTATAGCATTTCCCTGAGACCCCTCCAGTTCCACAGTATTCTCCTGGAGACTGCCCATGGACTGCATTAAAACGTGATCATCACCTTGGCGTTGCTCCCCATCTTGTCCCTTAGCTCTGATCCTGCTTGCTGCTCAAAGAGTGTTGCACAAGGCACACTGCTCGGCAGCCGGCAAAACACACGGGTGTCCCAGCGCTGCTCCAACTGTTCGCTCCTTCGCCTGGATCAAACTGCACAGCTTGGAGCCACAGGCACCCTGCTCTTCCTCCCAGCCCGGACAAAAGCCTGCCTGCTTGCTGCGTGAAGGTAAGCTGACAAAGTAGCTGTCCCTGCATCCCAGCCTGCAGATGCTCATTTCTTTCACTTTCCCGAAATCTTTTTAAACACCTAAACTGACCTGCATCTAGTATTTCTGTTTTACCCACTACACAGACACCAAAGTACCTCCTGTTCAGGCCCAGCCTGCGTCAAGAGGCCAGAACACGTGTCTGATGATGGAGTCCAGCTGCCACAGCCTGCAGTCCCTGCTTCCCCAAACGGAGCTGAAAAGGAGGAACCTGCTGCAAATGGGACAAACCACTGCATCCTGGGCTGCAGCAGGAGGATCTGCCTGGCCCGGATGAGGCTTGGGAGCTTTTAAGAGCAGCCTGCAGCTACCTGCAAGGAGGTGCAAACACGATGGAACCAAACTCCTCTTGGTGTTGGGACACCAGGGCACAATGAAGGGGGTCTCCATATTTCCAAGACTTTGCCAGACAAAGCCTCGCTGCCCTGAGCTAGCACCGGGGACAGTCCTGCTCCAAGGGGAAGGGTGGACTAGGGACTTCCAGAGGTCCCCTTCCCACCAGCACTCCTATGTGAGCCATGTTAGGCTAAGGCTGGCTGAAAGAGGTCAACAACCCAACTGTTACCAAAGGATTATCAGGCGCCAGAGCCCTGGCAAATGCAAGCAGGGATCTTACCGTGAACTCAATGCTGTATCCCGAGAGGTAGGTGAGGAGATAGGAGGTCACTGGCAGACACGCCTCCACCACAGCAGGGTCACTGGAGTGGGAGAGCTCATGGAGACAGCGGGCTGCCTCCATCTGCATGTCAGCCAGGCTGCTGGTGAAGAGCCCGATGAGTGTCCGGATGCTGCCGTCCAGCCTGGTGGAACCCAAAGGGTGCTGTCACCTCCTGCCTTCCCACCCTCAGCCACACACCAGCTCACCCACGTAATGACTGGGACAAAGGGCCACTCTGGACATGCCCTTGATAACAGCCATGCAGTGCATGACCAGGGCTGACCTGACAAACTTCTGTTGAGTCTCCTTGTTCTGCAGAGCCCAGCGAAGCTGGCTGAGTGATCTTTTCCTGTCCTCCGAACCCCTCTGCACGCCTCTGAGCAGCTCAAGAACCTATCAAAAAATTAAAAGATGAGTGAATTTCAAGCAGTGCCAGGGTGAAGTTTGCATCCCGTTACTCCTGGAGGCAAAGAAACCCAGGGCGCAAAGATGGTCACAGAGAACCTTAGTGTTTCTCACTATGTCTGGCAGTGACTCAGAAAACACTCCCAGACCCACCTCCACCCAGGCTCCTCCGCATGCCTAGAGGCTGGGGGAGACCCCAGGGACACCCACCACCACGGAGAACGTCATGCTCTTCACCTCCTCCTCCGAGAGAGGGTCCAGCACAACCTTTGCTCCATCCTGTCCAAGCTCCTCTGCTGTGATGTCCTCCCGCAGAAGCCGCTTGCTGACCAGCTGCTCCTGTCGCCGGGCTTTCCTGAGAGCTGTGATCGAATCGGTCCCCGTCACCACCTGCCTAGGTCAAGATGCTTTTCCATCCCCCCAAAGAGCCTTATTCCTTTCGGCAGGGAGAAGCTGCCAGTTCCTCCTCGTGCGAGCCGGGGAAGGACGCACCAGGCGGTGACTACGTTCGGACCTCGTGTGCCACTGAGCTTCGGGGTCGGGCACCCATCAATGAGCGAAGCCGCGGCTGGGCAAACTGGTGTGGAACCAGGGGACCAGAGCGGCCGCACTGGGGAGGACCCACGGCTGGTTTTACGTAGGCAAGACCTTGGAAAGCCCAAACCGCAGGGAGGGGGTTGAGGAAACGGAGGGAGCTGGGCTTGTTCAGCCTGAAGAAGAGAAGACTGCGAGGGGACCTTATAAATGCTTACAAATATCTGCAGGGTGGGTGTCAGCAGGACGGGGCCAAGCTCTTTTCAGTGGTGCCCAGCAACAGGACAAGGGGCAATGGACACAAACTGAGGCACAGGAAGTTCTGTCTGAACATGAGGAAGAACTTCTTCCCTCTGAGGGTGACGGA